CCGGAAGATGCGGGAGTTTGCATCCGAGGAACGACGGGGCAGGGGGCGGGGGGGAGATGGGTAAAATCAAGCCCCTCATCTGCCTGGGAAGAGACTTCAGGTTGAATTTCATTGGGAAAAGGTGACTTTGTGACTTCAGTCTCCAAAACGACACACCCCGTTTTGGTTTTGAGCGAGGAGGCCTCACTTCAGTCAGACGTAGCGTGTGTTCCCTGGGGAATCACTGTATCCGACTTCGTTACTTTGTTGCACGAGGTGCATCTTCCCGGCCACGTTTGGTGCTAGGTCAGTCACGTTTCTCCCAGTGTGCACACGTGACCTTCCCTGCCCCCGAAACCCCTGATGCACACGTGTTCCCAGACCCCTTTTCGGCACAGGATTCGCCGTGCCGTTCATCGGCGTGATTCAGAAGCTGGCGAAACCTTTCCAGGTGACGAGGTCGGACTCCGGCACGTTTTCTTAGTCTGCAGCTGTAGCCTCTGGGGAGAGGGAACCGGCCGGGCCGTTTGTCCTCTTGCTTTGCTGATCCCCTCACTGATGCCCCCGTGGGCCGAAGGGTGTTTATTAGTGTTTCCAACGTGGGCTCTCACGCTTTCAGATAGGGAAAAGTCTACATTTCGAGTCCGATTGCCTAATACTCAGGCAGTGAAGGCGGTTTGTGCGCGCTGGGAACACAGGCCAGCGGCTTCGTTTTCCTCTGAGACGGGGTGCGTTCCCACGCGAGTATTTCTGTCGCCGTCCAGGAGAGGGTCCAGATAGAGAACGGAGCCCTGACGATCGCGAACCTGAGCGTGGCCGACGCGGGCATGTTCCAGTGCGTCGCCGAGAACAAGCATGGCCTCGTGCAGTCCAGCGCCGAGCTGCGGGTCACGGGTGAGCCTCGCGCCGCGCCTGCCGCTTTGCTGGAAGCCCTCGCTTCCGCCAAAGTGGAGAAACTTCGTGTCCACGTCACGCTCCGCGTCTGAGGCGTCCGCGGCAGAGTGGCCCAGGGCTTCTCGTCCGGGTGACGCCTTAGGGACGAGCGGGACCGCAGCGGTGGCCTACACCCCGGCCCCGCGGTCACGGCCCACGCAGCCCCGTCACAGGGCTCGTGGCGTTGTGTTCCCCGTGGCCGGGCCACAGAGTCCACCCCGAGGGCACACGGCCGCTGCTCACGTGGGACGGAGCCTTGTCCCTGCGCCCTGCTCGAGGCACCGGCTTCGGGCGGACGCAGCTCGGAGCAGCCGGGGCGTGACACCTGCTGTGGTGGGTTATTTCTTCCCCCGCGCTCTTCGGGTCGCGGAGGGGGAGGCCGCTGGTCCTGCTCAGGGCAGTGGCCCCGGAAACCGCTTTACGTGGCAAACGCTCGCGGATCCCACCAGAGCCGAGCGCATAGCGTAGTCCTCCCCGAGGAGGACGGGGGGTTAGATCCGGAACCTTCTAGGAGGGTTTTAATTTTGCTAAACTCAGGAGTGAGCTACTTTAAAGCTTCCAGTAAATGTTAAAAACTCCCATACAAAACACGTCTCACGGTTCAGACTCGGCAGCGGGAATCACTGGGCGCGTCCGGTAAATCCGGTGCTGACGTCCGTGTGTCCGGAAGCTTCACGACGTTCCCTTCAAAATCAGCTCGAAGTTGACGGCAACTCAGAGAAATTCAGCAACGAGCTCATTCTCTCTCTTCTTCCTTCCTTTCCAGCGTCTGCTCCGGACTTTTCAAGGACTCCGATGAAAAAGTTGATCCGGGCCCAGGTGGGCAGCGAGGTGGCCTTGGACTGCAGGCCCAGGGCCTCCCCGAGAGCCGTGTCATCCTGGTGGAAGGGCCACGTGCCCCTGCGGGACAGCGGAAGGTACTCGGCGCCCACGGACGCGCGGCCCACTTTCCAGGCGAGGCCTGTTGACCTTGACAAACCAGAAAGAGCCAGTTGTTTACAGGAAAGTGGGTTCACTTGGGAATCCAGGGAGCCGCCAGGGGCACAGGCGAGCCGCGAGGGCCCTCGGAGCCGAGCACGGGGGGCAGGAGGTGGGGAGGGGCTGCTGGGAGTTCCCGGAAGCTTCTCCGTGCCTGGGCGTCACCAGGGGCCCAACCCGAGGCCACCAGCTAAAGACCTTGGGTGGAGACTATCGCGGGGGAGGGGCGTTTTGCTGGACGAGGGGGAGCCCCCCGCCCGCCCTGCGGGTCCCCTGTTTGGGGACATGCCTGAGGCCCCCCAGGGCCCCACCTCCCTTTGCTGTGAGGTCTCTCTGACTGTGGCCTCGCCGGGCAGGCTCCCAGGTGGAGCGGAGGGCCGCGGCGTCCGTCCGGGGTGGGGGCGCGTGGGCACCGTGGCGGATGCTCTGTGCTCCCGCGGCAGCGGCGGTCAGCGGCTGCCGACCCTCAGGGAGAGCCCGGCCCTCCTCCTCCCATGCAGAGCCCGCGTGTCGGGGAGGACTTTCCTCCCTGTGGCCTGGAGGACGCTAACTGCGCAGTACGGGGAGGTCCGCCCCGGGCCAGTGTCCCAGCACAGAAAGCAAGTGATGTTGTGGCAGCCCATGACAGCGAGGCCAGCGTCGCGGGGGCCTCCGCGGGGGTGACTCAGCCTTCCGCAGAGGCCGCCTCGGTTTGCCGAGCGTGACACGCTAGAAGCTTGGTGGACAGTGCGGGTTCTGGAGCCGGGTGCCCGGGCTCCCCCCTCGCCTGCCCCCTCCGGCTCAGTGGGGTGATGGACTGTCTCTCGTTAGTGAGCTGATGACATCGGTGCCCGCTTCACTTCATGAGGGTCAGCGCGCGGCCGGAACGCTTGTGTCCACACGGCACCTGCTCGGCACGTGGCACAGAGTACGCGGGAGGCTGCGCTGTGGCTGCGGTTTGTTGAGGGTTTACCACGTGGCAGGCGTCAGACTCAGAGCCTGCGAAAAGCGAACAACGGCCCCAAAGATGCCCACGTCCTGGTACCGGACTCCTGCGAGGACATCACGTTGCATGGGACACATTAAAGGGGACGAGGGCATTCGGGCTGACCGCGGGCTTCCTATAGGGGTTCGCCCTGGACCGGCCAGGTGCTCAGGCCGTTATTCGAGGGCCGCCTGGGGAAGAGGGAAGCAGGGTGTTTGAAGGAGGCGTTCGAGGGCCAGAGGAATGCGAGGCCCCCGCCCGGGCCCGCCGGCCGTGAGGACCTGCGAGCGGCCAGTGAGCCAAGGCTCTGTGAGGTGGGAGCAGCCCTCGGTGACAGCAAGGACATAGGCCTCGGTCCCCAACCCACAACCGACGGATGCCACCCACGGCGTAGGACCAGGGGAGGGTTCCAGAGCCTTCTGAAGGAACGCAGCCCTGGCGACCCCCGCTTTCCGCCCAGAGGCCGACGCTGAGCTCCTGACCCCCGCAGCGGCAAGATCACCGTTTTGTGCTGTTCGGGGCCCCTGAGTTCATGGCGGTCGTCAGGGGGGAGAGCCGCCTCCTCAGAGGGCCGCGTGTCGTGCCCTCTAAGCCTCGGCAGCTCCGTCCCACAGGCCGCGTCACGGGGTCCACACACGGGTGAGCAAACCCACGCCGAGGGGACTGAGCACGTCGGGATTCGGATCCGCATCTGCCGGACGCTCGGGCGTGACCGATGGGCTGTCTCGGTGTCACCTCTGCCGGGGGCTCAGAGGAGTCTCGGCCTTTGCAGTGGAGTCGAAATTATCATTTTCTTTAGAAACGAGGGGGAAGCAAACAATAAAACCTGAGGCCAGGAAACGTGGATTTTCTTTTCCACAGTAACGAGGTCGCACTGCAGATGGCCGGGCTGGACCGCGTGGGATCAGAGGCCCGAAGGTTCCCCTGGGGTTGGCTGTGACACGGCCGCGTTCGCCAGCCTTTAATGGGATCCACGGCCACCAAGCACAGCCAGAGGGAGGACGCAGCAGAGGCCCGAGCTGGGCGGTTAAACGCAACCCAGCCCCCAGCAGATTTCCAGACAGGAAGTGAGCGTGTGGAGTCAGGCTTTGTAAGACACCTCAGACAAGTGCAGGCTTGTGGCACAGACTCGTCGGCTTAGGCTGTGCTGGCTGCTAAGTCTTCCTGTGCCACAGCGGCTTCTCTGTGGCGGGGAGAATTTTCAATGCCTTTCTCGCAGGCATGAATTCAGCAGCAATTGTGTCCCAGGGGCCTGGTGTTCTGCACAATAATAAACCGGCTGGTGCTCACAGTAGGGTCTGCGCTAGGCAGAGCTTTTTAATCGTAGTTTCAAAAGGAGGATTAAGCAGATTAAGAGATTTGCTGAAGGACAGCGAGGGAGAAGGGTCACCCCGTGTGGTGGCCGTGAGTCACGCATCAGGTCTGAACCGTGGCGTCCTCGTCCGGTCTGTACAGCGGGACAGCAGGCCTCCCCGACCCCTGCGTACAGGCCGCTCCCCGCAAGGGCCGCAGCTGCCCCCGTGGCCGGCCCTTCCCCTCTGGGCAGCCGAAGCTGTGCTGAGCAAGCGGCAGGTCAGATTCCTCTCCAGCTTCACGTGGCGTCAGACTGGGCCTCGCTGTCGCTAGGCAACGAAGGTGCCCCGTGCCCCCCTGGCCCTGGCTTTACACGGTAGGTTGACGGTGGCTGTTCAGTCACGGGCCGTTCAGGCTAAAACAGATCTCGTTTGAGGGACGAATGAATTTACTGATATATTTGAAAACAGAAGAGAAGGCAAAAATTTTTGATAGGGTATTTACGGCAAAATTTAAAATTCATTAGTTTTTTAGGGCTTCTTTGTTGTTTTTCTGGTAGAAGACCTTGGGCTTTTCAGTAAGAAACAGGATAAATAGGAGACTTTCTCTAGCCTAGCACAGGGGGCTGTGGGGGGCAAGTACGCTATTGATTAAGCTGGCATGTAAATCTGTTGTATGATACATATATGGAGAGATGCATCTGTCTACTGATAGAATCAATCAGAGCCTGAACCAGAAAAAGAAATACAAGAATCCAACGTCTTTTTAAAACTGTGACGGCCGGGTCACTGTGTGTGCGGAGGAACTTGACAGCCGGTAACTGTGCGGGGGACGTCACGCGGTGCGTCTGAGCGTCCGTGGTCTGTCCGCGTCGCCAGCTTCGCCCCGCTCAGCGACAGCCCTGTGCCCTTGTGTCAGCCTCGGAAACGTGCATCGGAGCCGAGACGCCCGAACTTCAGGCGGACTGGCCAGGAGCCAGGGTTCCTGCTTCAGGTGGCGAGAGCGTCTCAGGCCGAGGCGACAGGGTCCCTTCCCCGCGGAGGTCGTAGAGGCCGCCCCGAGCGCGTGACGGTCCCTGAGTGCACTCCGGGCCCGAGCCCCCGAGGTTACGTGCTCGTCACGCAGTCGGAAGCGTTTTGGTGCCGACGGCGTGCCGGGCACCGGGAGGTCCTCTCTATCAGAGAAGTCTGTCCCTGGTCTTGGCTTTCCAGGGTCTGCAGAGGTGACTGGGCAGGTTCGGGGAGCAGAGGAGGGAGCACAGGGTGCGCGGCGGTGACTGGGAGGGGGCCCGCCTCCCGCGAGGGCGCAGACGGGCTCTCTGCACAATGTCGTGTGGAAGCAGGACGGGGAGGCGACTGGGCAGGAGCAGCGCGCGTGAGGCTCGGGGCGCGGGCGCCTGGGTACTCGGCGGTCCCTGCGGTCAGCGTGTGGGGCCGTGGTGCAGCCTGGGCTGCTCGTCAGCGAGCCAGTCGGCCGCATCTGCGCCTCGGGGATCTGGGATCTGGGACTTGGAAGAAAGGCCCGAGCACCAGGGCCGTGCATGGCAGGAGTTGAGGCCACGCGGGGGCGAGGTCCGGACACGGGGCTGCACCTCGCCGCCAAAGCCTCAGTGTGGACACGCAGACACTGAGCGGAGGGTGCCTCAGTGTGGACACGCAGACGCTGAGCGGAGGGGGCCTCAGGGTCAGACGCTGAGCGGAGGGTGCCTCAGTGTGGACACGCAGACGCTGAGCGGAGGGTGCCTGCTTTTACGATTCTTATTCAAGGGCTAACGTTACAGTTTCATAAGTGATGGACTTACTAAGTCAACCTAAGTCAAAGGTCATCTTAAGTCACCTGGGGAACAAATATACTAAACTTTGAAACAACTGGCATCACTATTGAGTAATGTTTTTCTTTTTTGTGTTTTATGTTTATCATTCAATATTGAGAAGCAAATTTTCTGAATAAACGAGGCGTCCCAGCCTTTTGTGCATCCGGCGACGTTGCACAAGGTGTGAGTGTTTTAATGCTGTTGCGTTTATTCACTTAAATCTACGTGTTTTCAGGACTTGAATTAAAATGCGCCGACCGCTTCCCCACGTGCTTTTTGCGTACGGTGATGAGCTTTAAAGCGCAGTGAACGTTACGTGCTGTGTGATTCCAGTTCTGGAAACGGCACCGTTCTGGGGACGGACAGCACAGGCGCCGCTCGGCGGAGTCGGGAGGGGGTGGAGAGGCGCCTGTCAGGGTCGCAGGCGGGGGTTTGGGGGCGGTTTCCGGGCCTCGACGAGGTCCTGCTCCAAACCAAAACGGGTGACGACCCGGACCCAGTGTGCCAGGAACGCGCACGTCAACCAGGACAGCACGAGCCCTTGAGCACATGGTCTGCTTAGGCCGTGGGCGGCTCGGCCGTCAGCAACGCTGCCATCGGCTGTGTCACGAGGTGACCATGGAATTCAATGAAGCAAGACAACAGGAAGGACACATCCTTGGTGCAGGCGTGCGTGGGGCAGGCGTGTGCAAGGGATGTGTGAGCAGGGGACGTGTGTGAGGCAGGTGTGTGCAGGGCAGGCGTGTGCAGGGGACGTGGGCGGGGCAGGCGTGCATGGGGCAGGCGTGTGCAGGGGACACGTGTGCAGCCCGGCGTGTGCCGCAGACACTAAGCCGGGAAGAAGCTTGGAGAAGAGCTGCGGTCTCAGCCCGGGCGGGGACAGCCACTCTGAGGATGGCCGTCTCGGTGGCGTGACACGGGAGCTGCATTTCGAAGGGTGTGTAAAATCACGCAAAGCCGGAGTAGGGAAGCGCCTGGACTGAAGGAGCACGTGGAGCTGAGGCTGGACGCCCCTTCCAGGCGTGGCCTCGGGCGGACACGGGCCCCGGGACGGGGCCTGAGCTGCGTCCTTCCCCAGGTCTTTCCACAGCGGTAGACGCTGGGGGACGGCTGGTTCCAACACGGGAGACGAGACACTGGGGAGGGGGCTGGAGCCTCAGCGTGGGGGCCACCTCACCCTGCCCAGGACCCCCCCAGCCCC